GCTGTTATCAGAGAAATTATTTCTGATTTCATTTTTTCCAGATCCTCTTTTGTTGCCAGTTCAGGGAGTCCAGGTGGTTGAGTATCAGTGTTCCATCTCATTTCCCTTTGGGGTTGCTGTAGGTGATCTGGAAGTCTGGTTTTGAGATTTATTTACGTGTCTTCTCATTTTGATGGGGTTGGCGCCCCCATGGCTCACCTCCTCTGTGCTGGGAGTGGTGGAATGGTGGCCTGGAAGCCCCTTCCTCTGGGCTAGGAGCAGTGGAACAGTGGCAGAAATGTTCTATTTTCAAATTATTAAACATAATATATGTCATATAATAACAAGATTATTTTGGTTGCAGATGGCAGAGACCTGAACATGTTGGGTGACAAAAGTGGACCTTGTAATTGAAAAATTGGGGGCTAGTAAAGTTCTGGCTATAGCGATTATAGTGGTCGGCTTTTTGTTTCTGGGGTACATGTGGGACACCCACAAATTAAGGGAGGAGAAATTCACTTTGCCTCATGTTTTAAGGGGATTCAGTACACGGGAGCTGGCTCCAGGCAGGAACATTATGGCGGAAGGGAGTGATGGAGCAGAGCTGCTCAGTTCATGGTAGAGGGAAGTGGAGCAGGAGATAGCACCAGAGAGGAAGGGGCTAGGGGGCTGACACAGACCCAAGGCCACACCTCTGTGACCCCCAGACACACTGAAGAGCATGTTCTACTAATCCCTGAGTGGGTCCCAAAACCAGCTGGGTCAACCTGCCACCCTGCCCACTACACAGGTGTAGAGCAAAGCCAGGGTGCTCTCTCTGTGCATCCCGCTGCCTTGTGATCCCTTATGTTAATTTTATTCTCAGGCTCCATTTAATTACATAATGGCTGCTAGGATTTGTAAAATCTTCCTTGTTCCAGCTCAGTGGAGAAAGAGAACAAATCTTTTACCTCTTCCTTGGCCAACCCTGAATTGCCCCACAGTGGCTCTGACAGCAGATCAGCTACCCCCCAGTCTCTGAGGCCAGCAACATGGAGGCCTCCATTGGGATTGGCCAGATCCTCGTGGGGGCAGTGTAGACACTGACCAGGAGGGAACGAGTCCTTGGAGGAAAACTGGCTGCTTGTGCAGAGAAGGGAGTGGAGGTTTGGTGTAAAAGCAACGACCATAGCAGTCACTACATGTATCCCTCTCCACCTAAGCCAATACTGACTTTATGCTGGCTGAGTACAGGGGTTTAATGTAGAGGGCCTTTGGGTGAGCTTGGAGGTTGGATGACACAGGGCTGGAATTTAAAACGAAATACATAACCTTAACAAAAGAAAAACAGTAGTGTTGGATGTCTGATAGTTTACCTTACAGTCAAGAATCATATTCAGAATGCTGGGCATGGTGGTATATGCCTATAATCCCAGCTGCTCAGGAAGCTGAGGCAGAAGGATCCCAAGTTTCAGCCCAGTCTGGGCAACTTAATGTTATCCTGTCTTAAAATATTTTTTAAAATGCTAATGGTGAATCTCATGGCAGAGCGCTTACCTGGCATGTAAGGCCCTAGGTTCCATTCCCAGTACTGCCAAAAAGCAAAACAAAGAAAGGATGCTATTTACAATAATTAACAACAGTGGCAGAGGGTTGACTAATCAGAATGAGTTGAATCCAGCCAGTCAGAACTGATACTGATTACCGCAGGCCCCAAGAGTGTTCTGGCAGGTGGTCAGCCCAGCCTGCTAGGGCGTGTTGGTAAGGTGCCGTTAATCTCTTTAAAAATGTCCTGACTCTGTTAGTTGCCCAGGCATCCCATAACAGAGTACCATTCCCTGGATGAATTAAAGTGATAGGAAAGTGTTCTCTCAGAGCTCTGGAGATGAGATGCCCGGAGTGAAGGTGTTGGCAGGTTTTAGAGAAGAGCCCCCTCACCTGCCTTCCCTCTCCCGAGCAGTCCTTGGCATTCCTTGGCATTCCTTGGCTTGTAGCTGCACCACCCCAGTCTCCATTCTCACATGGCTTTCTCTTCGCTGTGCCTGTGTCTCTGTGTCCAGATTTCCCTCTTCTGAAGAAAAAGATTATCCACTTCCTGCTTAACTTATTATTTTAATTCTGTTAAAATAGGAATGTTTGGGTAACAGTTTGGTGGAGAATTAATATTCCCTGGTCTGTGACTATGTGCACGGAGAAGTATTACTTTCTTACCCATGACTTTATTGAATTCAGACCAATTTCGCCTTAAAAATGGAGCTGGATACAATTAGATAGACATCGTGCATTAGTGTACTCAATAGTAATGCAAGAGAAGCTGGACAGAAATACAACTTCTTGCAAGGAATAAGTGAAAATAGTGGTGATGATCTTCAGCTCTTTGAAGCTCAGTTCTAGTGAGCAGAACTCGAAGCAGTAAGTAATATTACAGGGAGCCATTTGGTGTGGCATAAGACAGAGCTTTCTCGGTGTACAGGACGACACGGAGGTGACTAACATGGGAGAGAGGAAGAAGGGCAGGTTCCTTGATGTGGTTCATTACCTCCCGGATGTTTCATAGAGATCTTGCCTGAAGAGAACATGGAAACAGAGACCCCTCCCAGTTTCCAGCACTGTTCCAGACGCCCCGAATCTCCCTCCGTCCATAGCCTGTGAACATCAGTGTTGGCTGTGTGACAGGATGTGCTATCTGTTTAAATGATTTTTTTTTTGGTACTGGGGATCAAACTTGGGACCTTGCGCTTGCAAGGCAGGCGGCGGAACCACTGAGCTAAATCCCCGGCCCTGTTTAAATGCTTTTTAACGCTGCCAATCTAAAGTTTTGCTGTCTTACCTTGGTGCTACAGACTCATAGGACAAAGTAAGGTGGGGGTTTAATTCAGGAAAGGGAAACAGCGAAAGAGGAAGGTAGGAGAGGGACGCGGGTTTGCTGGGTGTGCACCCTGCAGGGCGTGTTGCGCTCATCTCTGTCTGTGCCATCTCGTCCTGTTCACTGCACCCAGAGGCTCTGATTGGCTGGAGAGGCTTGGAGAAGCTATGCTTCTGAGAGTGCTGAATTCTCAAGCTGACCGGCATTTGCTTATGTGTTCTTTGGTGTGAAAAACAGGACTATTCTGACGGCTACATGTACAAGACGTGCTTCCAGGCCAACGAGATGGCAGGGGCGTGTCCAGGAACCTGCGCCGATGTACAGACATGGCTTCCCACGGAGGTGAGTGGGCCAGTGCACCCCATTCCCCCTTGCAACCTCTGGGCACAATAATTTAAGCATGTCAATGTTTAGATATCCATGTGTTTTGAAAGATCAACACTAACGGGTCCTGGCCCAGTTGTCGGGGGAGAAGTGGACATTTATGAAGAGTGATTTTTTTCTGTAATACTGAAAGCAGAAGTTGTCTTGTACATTCTGTCTATTTAATGGTAGTAAACTTCACATTTCTGGCTGCTTTTGTGTCTGAAAGCCACAGATGTTTTCTGTTGCTTCCTGACCGTCCTCTAGTGAAATCCCACCAACATAATACGGACCCATGTCTTGGCTTCTTAGTATCTGGCAGGAGACCTCTTTGTCCAGTCTGCCTTTACCCTTTTTCCTTAGCCACGGAATCTGGCTCTCATTCCTTAGGGCATTTCAACATGCACTCGAGAAACATATGATTCAATTTTATTAAAGTGCTAATAGCTTAGTGCTTTTCTGCCATATTTTTAATTGTTTTCTCATCAAAATGCAAATAGCCTTATTATATTTCTTAGGTTAATAAAAATATTACATAACCATTATAAAAAATAAATAAGTAATGTATTAAAAGGATAAAAATCTCTTATATACCCTTCAATACATAATCATTATTATTATTTTGAAAAATATTCTTCCACACATTTGTTTTGTTTTGGTTTTTTGAAACAAGGTATGTAATCTTGCTATGTAATCTATACTGGCCTCAAACTCATGATGTTCCTGCCTCAGCCTCCTAAGTGCTGGGATTACAGGCATTTCCTCATATTTCTGTCACACACACCCATTGTTTTCTTTAAACAAGTATATCATGAACGTATTTCCAAGTCTGTAAATGCAGAATGTCATAGTCCTCTTTAATGGCTTTATGACATTCCATCCTATGAGTGTACCATAGTTATATGGGGCTCATACTTATAGGAAATTCTTGAATTTTGAAAAATGATTGGTGGGTATGTGTTTCAGCCTGGTCAAGTGGGAGAAGAGATAGCTTTGTGTAGCAGTCTTTCTCTGGCTCTCTTCAATCAGACCCACTTGGGAATCAGGTGTTAGTCCCTTCCCCATGTCTGATGCTGGCCTGGAAGTCCTCCTCTCCACTAGGATTTGATTTAGAGGTTAATCTAGAGGATGCTGTGCTTGGTAATAAGCTGAGTGCCCCAGGGTGGGTTGGATCTTGCTTAGTGCTTCATAGTTCAAATAACCCACATCAAATCTGAAACCAAGCTCATTAGGAAATTTTTCCATTCATTATATATTAACTTTAAAATGCTTAAAGATTAACATAGAAATGATGACTAAGAAGATGAATTGCTAGTTTTTGTCTAACAAGGTAGCAGAGATTTTTAAAGCACTAAAGTTGGTGTTGACAGTGTGAGGGAGCTGATGCTTTCTGATCAATAATAATTTTAAAAAGTTTAGAGTTGGGCACATGCTATGAATGATCTGGTCCCATTCTGGGCATTCAGTCTCATAAAATACAAATTTTCTCCAAATTTTTAATTTCCCAAATTTCCCAGTGAATTTCCAACCTGTAGAAAAATTGAGAGATTTTTTTGGGGGGGAATGTCTATGTATTCACCACCTGCAGTCTACTACCATTTCCACTTGGCTGAGGTTACTTTATTATGTATCTATCTGTGTATCAATACGTATTTTTTATGCAACACTTTTATCTACAAGTAGACTGCAGACAAATGCTCATAAACTAATAAGAAATGTGCATACAGATTTGCCTGCAAGCATGTTCATCTCACCATTATTTATAACAGGAAAAATGGAAGCAACTGGGATGTGTGTTGGTACCACATCACATAGTTAAGGCCCATTCTGTCATGTAAAATGACTCATATCATGGGGTAAAGTGTCCATGTTAGGTGTCATAAACAGTGGAGTTTGTGTCATAAGCAATGAAGTCCAAGTATGGTTAGTGCCTTTTAAACTATTAACTATTGTGAGTTAAAATATTCTTTTTTATTTATCTTTTCAAAGTGAAACCTGTAATTCTTTTCTTTTATCTTCAAGAAGTCCTTGGAGCCAGGGATTTAGCTCAGTGGTGCCACCCCCTGCCTTGCAAATGCAAGGTCCTGAGTTTGGTCCTTGGTACAAAAAAAACCCCCCAAATCCCAAAACAATTCCCTGGAGTTATTTTTCTTGGCCCAGTGGTTTTATCTGTGGTCCCCTACCCGTCCATCCATCCATCCATCCATCCATTGCATAAGCTTCCTTTACTGCTAAAGTTCCTGCTGACATCTTGTTCTCTCCTCCCCAAATAATAGAGGATGACTCAGAAGTTCAAAGTAAGTCAGTACAGTACTCCAGCTTGGTGTGTCCTACTTTTCTCCCTACTGCCAAAAGGAACAGTAGTGGAAGATGATATATACATGTAAAAATACACACATACATGGTCTAAAAATAATTCCCCCCTTATAAGCAGATAAAATTTTTTAAACTGTGGGGTTTTTTTGTTTTGTTTTTTGTAGTACTGGAGATCAACCCTAGGGGCACTCTACCACTGAATTATATCCCCTACCCTTTTTATTTTTTATTTTGAGATAGAGTCTCACTATGTTTCCCAGATGGGACATGAACATGTGATCTTCCTGGCTCAGCCTCCCACAGTGCTGGGCTTACAGGTGTGCATCACTGTACCAGGCTAGCTGTGGGCTTTCAAAGCATGTTTCATTCCTGTTCTTTCCCTTCAGGGAATTTCCATGAAAATATATGTCCTTTATTTTTCTTTCTTAGTATTCCTTAGATTTGCACTTACTGCTTTTTAAAAGCCATACTTCTTTCTTAGACTTCAAACCCCACAGAGGCAGGGTGGTTCAATAAATATCTACAATCTGAAGGGACCTCCTGGCATGGTGCCCCCCACAGCCTTGCTCCCCTGAAGGAGCAGGCCCGCTCTATGTTGATAGAAGCTGTGTTATCAAGAGCGCTACTTAGAATTGATTGAATTCTAGAAGCTTTGCTTCTACTAGGACAGAATGTTGGTTTCCTCCAAGAGTTAACATAGGAAGACTAAGAATGTTTGGGGAGAGAGATGTGTAGTGGGTTTTCAGCAGCTTATGTTTGGAAGTGTCACCCAGGAGAGGAATCTGATGATAAGCCCTTATCTTCAGTCAGCGGTGTGTTGTCTGTGATTGTTTGGTAACTCCTAGTAAACTTAGATGCAGCACTGGGATTATCACAGCAGCACAGTATGAAGACAGACTTGGAGTTCTGTTCTTTTGGCTCGAACTAGCAGTGAACCTTGAGTAAACTGCCATTTCTCATCCCTGATAGTTACTTGTGTGTGTGCATGTGTGTGTGTGTGTCTGTGTGCTGGAGGGGGTTGAATAAAATAAGCATAAAGTACTATTTTCTTTTAGTATTTTTATTTTTAGTAGTACGTTTCCATTCCATAATGATCACATGCATTGTGAGGATTTGATACATGTACAGAACACGTCTTAATTCTTTTCATGTCCCCTTCCCCTCCCTCCATCTCTAGGTTCTCATCTCATTTGCAAAAGATCTATCTTCCTGTTTCCTATGATTTACCTTTCAGTTTGCTCTTTAATTTTTATACTTTAGGTTTCTCATATAAGAGAAACCATGCAATATTTAAGCTGTGTGTCTGATTTATTTCACTTAGCATTATGGACTCAAATTGCATCTGTTTTCCTACAAATGTGTGCTGTTATTAATACTAATAAAATATCCCATATTTATACAAGAAGAGCAGGTTGTAGGTGGAGAAACAGGAAGCAGAGGCTCTGTAATCCTTCCTTCCTTCTTGTGTTCTGTGCTTGCCTTTAGAGGTGGGCATAACCTCACATTGGAAGATCAGCGTTCCATCCACCATGGCCACCTCAGATCTCAGCGTGGTTCAGAGACAACTGAGGAGGAGTCCGGGATCAGTAGGGGGCCTAATTAGGACAGCTGCTGAGTTTCATTGCAACTTTGTACCTGACTCTCATTTTCCTAGATCGGTACCAAACAGTGTTGTAGTCTAAAATTCTTTCTTCCTTTGTCATAGATTTATTCGTAAATTTTATTCAGAAATATGCTTATACGCATGACGTTGTGGAATTTGCTATTTTTCATGTTTAGATCTCTTAGAATTATGTTTTTCATCTTAATAGGCAGTACTCTTATTTGTGGCATAAGTAGAAAACATGAAAAAAATATATTAAATATATATATATGAATGAAGTGGAATGTAATTAGATGAGGAATCTACTGTTTGCCTTAAAATGCAATAGACTGTTGATATTTTTAAAATTTAATGTGTAAGCAAATTTCTTGAAGAGGATTGATTTGCTCATACCTGACAGAATAACTCAAGGGATGTATAATTTTAATTTGTGAAAATTATCAGTTTCAGCCGTGAGCATATTTGTAGGATCGACTGTCAACTGTGAAAACTTACTGGTGGTTTTGTGGTAATTAATGAGCTTTCTGACCTTTGAAGCAGTTGTTTAAACAGCGTTTGTTTCATTTCAACTATCAGTTATCAAAAGGTGCTTCAACTTAGCCAAAGAGGGGCAAATTCTTAGAAACTATGGTCTGTAGCGTTATGAAACATTGGTTTATGTAAAATATGTTGTCCATTGTCTTAATGTTAAAAATACAGTGGTCCAGGGGCTGAAATACTTTTTCTGTGTTTTTACTAAGTAATAGTTAATCATATGTATCGGTACTGAACAGCAATACCAAAGGAGTGCAGGTAGGTATTGCCTGTGCAGTGCATTGTGAGCTTGAGGGGAGTTGCTGTGGACTTTAATACTTCTGTTTGCTTTGCCCCGATCAATATTTTTATCCAGGACTTTAACAGATTCTGTTTTATCAAGTGTTTGTGTCAGTGTTAATGCCACTGTGTACTAACATTTTAATCCTCACAAAGTAATACTTGTAATGATCGTTTATTGATTCTCTATTATGTGCCAATTGTCCATATTAGTTCTATATTTTCTCGTTTAATCCTCACAAAACCA